CTGTTAATTTTTTGAAAATTACGAGTTTAACTTAATTCTTCACGTTTTTTCATCTATATGGTTTTTTTTTCGTCTTGTTGAGCAGATATTGATAAAATATTTACTCCCAAGTTCTAAGAAATTGACTATTTTCCTTGATTGACGTCTGAGATCGCGATTAACCGGATGCAACTTTAACGTATATTTGAATTTTAAAACAGTGTGAAGAAACCTTGAGAAGTCAACTCTCTACAAGCACATTGTGAGGTTGCCAATTCTAAAATCATATGAGCAATTTACTAATCAGTGTCTACACATTCAGTGTTTCTTCTCGGCTTAATTGTTGACGAAGTATTGCCGGAAATAGCGGGATTCCCCTGTATAACTTTTCCAAAATTAAGCCGAAAAGAACAATTGAAGTTGGGAACGTTAATCATGCGGCTAATAAACAATCTAGTTTCATCATTCAGCTTAATATAAATCTGTGAATTTGTCACTTTCAGCAAAAATCACACCGTCCTTTTACGTAGTATTAGTAGACATCAGTACACAATATTAAATATTAGATCCGTCAAATTTGCCACAAAGTTCGTTCTCCTTAATATTAGTGTCACTTTCATGGTCGGAAATGAAGTACCGACAACCATTCCAATGCTCCACCCACTTTTGTAAGAAATATGCCCGGACCGTCAACTATTGACATGATTCTGCCCCCAAAGTCCTCCAGTAACTCACAATGCCATGCAATATTATTACGTGGTCTCCGGAAGTCTGTAAAGCCAGAGCAGCTCCTTTATAATAAATAATGTTATAATGAACATTTATTTGTCGAAAAATAACAGTCTCAAAACGTAGAAATTTTGCAAGGATCAAGCGGTGCGAACGATCGAAGTTCAGAACTGAGCCAGACTACACTTATCAGTCTTAACTAGTTTCTCCTAAGTGATTTTGTGTATGGGAGTCGCGAGTTAAGAGCTGGCAGACAGGGTGAAGGTGGGCGGAAGGGTCCTTCAAGTTGATAGTCGGTCATGAGATCACCAGTCGCGGACCTGTGGGACGATACCCTGATTGAAGTGTATAGACGACCTGGCCATCCCTGAACTTGCAACCAGCTCGCAATGTAGCCTGTCGGTCCACTTATCAGTAGAAAATTCGGGCATTGACATAAACCTCCCGGGCATATACTTGAACACACCTAGACTACTGATTAATTGCTTCAGAAAACGCGCCAACCTGATAGTTTTATTCATGCAGACCTGATCTAACCTTTTTGTTTGTATTGAGCTTGGATTCCGATTGCACTTTTTTGACAAATTATTAATCGTTTGGTAACAATTGTAGCCGTGAAATAGCTTTTATCAGTAGCTTGAATAATATTTAATTACCGTAGTTATATCTTTGTTATAGCTTTTAGAGGGGTAACCAAGGTACTAAACCTAGGTATTTACTTTCTAATTACCGCTCCTGCATTCTGACAAATTAGTATTGACTCCGGACTGTTATCAACCTTTGCCCGAACCTCAGAGTTAGTTTAATTTTCTATAACACTTCAGGCTTCAGTATGATCTTACATTGTTACGTGCCTCTCCCCACCTAGCCCGATCAACTGCTTATGTTATACTTTAACTCTTTTTTCATCTCATTGGACATGTGTAGTAGCGTGATCACCGGGCGCCACTTTTTCGGCCGGAGTTAGCTTCATTTGTGATTCTCAATTTCTGTCCCTGATCATCTCTTGAGAGATGCGAACGGAGAGTGATTCAAAAATCTATTTATTGAACTCGAAGTTTATTTTTATGCGGGGTTTGATGCGTTTTATTAAATTAATGCTGACAGTGGCGTCTGCTTGTATGGTCCCGTACTGCGTCTTGAATCAATCCTGCTCGACAAATTCATCCCGCTCAAAGAAACTAAGAATAATTCTTATTGTCCTGGGAGAAAACAAATTGAATTTAAAACGTAAGCTAAACCCAACTGTCTGTCCACCACTGACAACCTTAATCAAATAACGTTTTTCTGTCTACTTTATTTCCTTTATTGATGATAAACTTGAACAAACCACTATTTGAACTGGTTAATTTGTATTGCCAAATTCATGGTCCCTAGATTAATCTATCACTTTATATGATTAATAATCTTCCTCTAAATCATGATAATATGTGCATGTCATCGGTATTATTTGACCCATTTGATCTTATAAGCCGACATTTGATGTTACCTTAAGTCTGATCGATCGCTTATGAAAATAGACCATCCGACAAAAGGATTTTATCAAAATTTGATGGAACGGCGGCAATTGAGCTTCATTTTCTAGATGATAGACTATACCGAGGGCATAATAACCTGCTCATATTGGCAAATAATTTGAAGGGACGTTTCACTATGGACGTTGCACGGAAGTGACCGAGTGATCAATATGATCTACTCGGAATCCGTTCATTTTTAATCTTTACGTGTCGCCACAATTACTCTTCCATAATCGCCATGATAAGATTATTTGTGTAAGGTTTCCATTATCGTTGTTTTCTTAATCGACCAATCCTTGTCAAGAATTACTTTGCCCTCGAGCTTTTGCAACTTGAACTGCCATGATTAGTTCATCAGTGTGATCAGTGATAACGATTGTTCCCACGCTTATCGCAAACTGTCGCCGTAAATCTTTGTAATCAACAAAACAAATTTGCCATAATAATACAAATTTTTGCCGAGCCTGCGGACGTCCTGCAGATTAAATTAACAGGCCGGTAGAGCACTTCGAAATTAAGTGATAATGGAGATAATCTTGGTCTGACTTAGTAGGGCTTGCTTTGAACAGGTAGTTAGCCCCGGCCTACTCCAGATGAGGTATTCGCTTTTTAAAGTCTTTGGTTTTTGTGTTCAAATAACACAGTCCTTTTCCAGGTTTCTTTAGCCTCCTCTGAAGTTACAATTGTTCCGTTGCTGATGGCTGCGAGTTGGCAGATTGAGACTCAGCACACCATATCATTATCAACCTTGTCATTCTTAGTATCTGACATTTGTGATCCGTTCCAAGTCCATGGCACATCTGACTTTAAATCTTTTTTCTCTAGCACTGTCCCTTCACTCGCCCCTAAATACTCTAATTAACACCCTAAGCACCCTAAGCACACTTCTGGGCGTTTAGTTTGATCTCTGCTGATCGTATCTTAAGAGAGTAAGGGCTCATTCTCTACCAACATAACGCCCTAAGCTACTTAAATAATTTGTTGTTCTGAATCAGTCAGGTTAATTGTCACCCCCGGTTTACACCCTAACTGATTCATGTACACAGTCTACCCTCAACACGGACAGGTGAAGTAAGTCCGCACCTTTGTGGCCGTGCCCCAGAAGTCAGTCTTGGTAGGATCTTGGTAACATTTAATTGCCAATTGTATAATATTTAACTACCAGTATTCCGCATAGACCTGCCTTCTTGTCCTCGTGATTGGTCCTCCTTGGTCACATGGCTAAGATGGTGGTTGCCAAGTAGCGATCACTTGAGCACGTGGTTTGAGAGAGTGTTGATTCTCAGAGAGGGCTCGAGACTCCTCGGCGCCTTTCTGGGAAGCACCCTTGACATTTTATCCCATTTTAGCTCGGCACAATAAGGCTATATCGGTCGATTGTCACGTGTTTGCCACATGAAGTTCCTCAGAAGTCACGTGCTACTTTTTGGTGATGGTAATTGGTCATGGTGGGTTTGTAGACCCTCTGTTTGGAGTTTATCCGCAACACGCTGCATATATGTTTTGCAATGTATAAAATATGGCGCGTCCCTCAGAGTTGTTTCAATCACGTATAATTTCTTTCTCTTGTCTACTCTCAGTCATTTAGTTCCTTATTATCGTTTCTGTGGACCCCTTTACGTTGTATTATTCTGCTCCATTAAGGACAGCTTTATTCTATAGTTCTATATAAAGTTGGGAATGGGATCAAAAACAAAAAAGGCATATTACGAACTGTAAGTTTCTCCTTAAAATCGTGAGAATTTTACCAAGACTACACGTGAATTAGAGCATTTCACAAAGACTATTTACGAATTTAGAGTTCGATAAGCATAAAGATCAATCCCTTCAACACCAGATATATTTGAATCGATCCTATTCATTCAAGCCGTTCAAAAACACTTTTATAAAGCTGGTGCCAGGGCAGTGAGCACTGTTGAGCTGCTATATTTTTATAGAATATCACAAAATATAACTCTTGACATGGTCTCTATGTCCTGTTTCCGGAAAACAACGGAATACCGTTTGGTATGCGTCTGCATAGCATTTCCGAGTTTATCACCTGAGAATTGTATCAGAAACTAAACCCTAGTATCCCTCAAAACGACAAATTGAAATGACGATCCCATTACCCAAAGTGCGGTCGACGAATTCCTTGTTTAACGAGACAAATCTCGGCCACAATCAAACGTGATGTGGGATCGACCTTGCTCAAAACAAAACACAACGTCATGGTATCCAACCTCGAACAACTGATAACAAATTAGCAACTACAGCAGATCTGTTATCTCTAAACACTCGATAATGTAATAGATTATTTGCCAAAAAGCACTTTTCTTTTAATGACACCTCGTTCAGACGGTCCTTTTTTGGAAAGCTTTAAACTATTCCAACCAATCATTGACTAAGTTATTCTTGTCTGCTTTTAATTCTATGACGAAAATATTTTTCACGATTGGTCGATGATTTAAACAAATCGATTGTTACCTATTTATACCCTTTACCTTAGCCACCCCTTCTTAAAAGAAATTAATGCGCTCAATAAAACTAGATTTTTCAAAGATTCAATCTTTCGTCTTCCTTGGATTTTTTGGGGCCGCTTTGTTTGATGCCTTTGTTTACAGATCTAGATTTATTTCCGTCACCCAGCAGGTGTCGACGGAATTGCGTCCCACGTCACGTCATACTATCGCCCTGACTTCACTCATTCTCGTCATCAAGCCTTATTAATCAGAGCCACGTGACACTTGTACAGCTTATATCCCACTAGTCACATGACACTCCTCTCTTTTCTAGATCAATATGTACGACCGGACCAGACTTCTCTCCCCCTCTTAATATCTTCTGCTACTCCTTTATAAAGACCACTGTTGTAGAAAGCTCCTCTAACACCAGCTGCCAACAGTTGTTAAATCGCACCCAGACAACCGCGTCCAGTCCAGCTCAGTTCCTAACTTGATCCCGATCCCGACAAGGAGTTTCATACTTGTGATATCCACCGAGTTTCGGTTTAGTTCCTTTCAGATGTTGTTTTGCATTTTATCGTACTGGCTGCTAGTTGCGGGCACAAAGGCCGACTGTCCGAACGTCCGTGATGCTCCGAACCAAACGAGAAAACTGAGAATGGAAGCAATAAAGGTTAGTACCACTAGATACCCACTACTAGTTCTGTGAGTAGTCTTTTGTTAATGCATCTGCACTGTTTCGAATGGTCGAGCTCTGCAATCTCTCATCACAGTCTGGCCACGATTCTGAAATAAATTTCACATTTTTGTTTGAATACCCGTCATTCCAGCGTTATCTTGCTGCAAGTTATTAGTGTTCTAGACAACACAAAACGTGTTTACTTGACCACGCTAACCTGTTACACTTTATAGGTGCAGATTTTGAGTAAGTTGAGAATAACGCAAGAAGTGTCTTCTAATATCACGAGACAGAACCTCAACTTCCACACTAGATGGCAGGTAAGAGACCACTACCTTTGTTCTGATCCTTCAGTTAAGCTCTAGAATTCAAATTTAATTTTATATTAATCTTCCTATCTTTTGGAATAGTTGTGCATCGATATTTCAATTCAATTTGTTCAGATTTAGCTAACCTGTATGAGGTTATTGTATCATGGTTTCCATGTAAGGTTTTTTTTCTGTTAAATCCAGTCTGTAGCCTGGTCTGATAGTTAAGAAGAAAATATTCCCACTCTAGAAATTATTGGCTGTTGACCTCTTTTCTTCTCTTCATGGCGATTTTGTAGATTTTAGAATTTTTGATGCGTTTAAATTCGCCTTTAGATTTCCCTAACGTTTAAATTTACCAAACAAAATTCATAACATCAAACATTGTCCGAAATTGGTAAATTTACGCTTTGAACATTGTTCACGTGTCTATATTGCAATTAAGGCTTTTAATGCGGCAGTCTATATCAATTTGTCGGGTTTTTGAGCTCCGCTGACCAGTCGAAACCTTGGAAAATACAACACAGTCCCGACTAGACTAGCCCACGACCAAGGTTTCATCCAGTCTTGTTGATTTACCGGCCGTCAAATCACCTCTGTAATTGTTCGGTTAAAAACTTTTACGTTTACCCCAGCGCGTGATGTAATGATAACTTTTTGCTTGATCTAATTTTTGTTGACAAAGGAATTAAAGCTTTAAGTTTATACTTGTCTTGAGTGAGCTGCTAGAATACTCACATTCGCTACTCAATCATTAGTGGACCAACTGTATTCTGATAATTGGCTGATCAAGGCATAATTTCTAACAGTATCAGATCATAGTCCTAAGACATTCCCCAAGATCTTCCTAAAACTCATTCCAAGCTTATATTACATTCGCATGTTTGCTCGGTTTGTACATGATTTGACCTGATTATGAACCTGTGGCATAATAAAGTTTTCGTGACCGCAGGTTGACGATTATTATAACGAATTTAAGAAGAAACAACAAGACAGCGTGAGAGATCGATACAACAAGGATTCTCATGACTATTTCTCAAAAACGATCAAAGTTTTCAGATTCCCCGAAGGTGAGTCACATACTTATTCGCTCATCAACTTGTTCGTGTTTTTTGGTAAATTCTTCCAATTTCGATCCTTTTATTTGCCCATCAACAATATTCGTTGCTTCGATCCGGTATAAAAAACTGGTCGCGGTTAACACATAATAGACGCACAGATTCTTGGGACACCAAGTGATTCTGAAAAGCTGTACTCTGAATAAAATGTGATCTTTCCAACAGTACGAGCTCATTTTTAATTTGTCCTTAGCTGATGTGCGAGATTAATCTCGTCTCGGTGCCCGTTGCCTTGAGTTTAATGTTGAGTTTAAAAGAAGTGTGTGTAATCAATCAATACAGCACATGCATACAAGCTTACATGGCTTGTTTTGCCAGTTAGAACATTGCCACAGGCTTCACAATCAGGTTTCCACCAATGAGCAGCCATCACTTTGGATCACGTGATTTAACCGCGGTGATTTGATTAAATGGGACTAGATAGATCGTCAAGCACGATGCAGCTGTATCATGATTAACAACAGTGTCCTGGAGCTTCATGTCACGTCATGGCTCTGAAACCAATGTCACCCAGTCCATTACATCAGTAGGTTCTTAACCTAGACTACCTTAAGGTGACGTCACGGACCCATTGAATGACGTAAAAATTCCCCTTCAGAGACGATCCTGACACCGAACACGAGACACTATCAGTTCGACTCGACACTCGGCCGATACATGGCTACAGGAGCTACTCTCAAGATTGGTATCAGTCATAGGGATCCTGGGCGGGTGAGTTTAGTTTAATTATAACTCCTGATGTGACCATACGGTAATTTCGTTTCAAACCACCAAATTATAAAGCGACTCAAACTGTCGGTGAAGCCCCAATCGCACACTGGAAATTATTCTTATCAGGACCGCATGTGTCCTCTAAATTTGGGTGACCCTAATTAAGAATAGCTGGATAGTTGGGTGGAGTGGGGAGCAGGGTTTGGTGGGTAGTACTTACTGTTGCTACTTCTAATTTATCAGATTAACAGCCAGTACACAGCATTATATACGCATTATTTTCGTCTACCGTAATTTGGCGGAGCTCCACATGCCCCGGACCCAGACAGTTAGTCAACAAGAGAGAAGGGGAGAGGGTAAGATGATCACACCCGGGCCGCTAAATATAGAGCAGTGGGGCGGGATGCTTACTTTCTCCTAAATTGAAGTGTAGTAAGATTTAAAATATCTGAAATGCCGTCTAGGGCATGAGTTCACCCTTCGGCCGACGATAACTCATCCTCTCTACCGCCGTTCGGGGGCTGTCCTCAAAGGATGGGTTTAGCGAACTGTCTACAGTCTACATAGCTACAACTACTATAGCTCCGTAGTCTGTCCCCTGATTTCACCCTGCCTTGTGTAGATGCCGTGCCTGGCACCGACCACCGCTCGACAATTTGTAACCTCTGCAATTATGAAAGTGCTGGAGCGACTTAAACCAACTAGCTAGCTATCTGACTCAAACTTTCAACCATATACCATTGACCCTGGATCATGGATTACTTTTACCCTCGCCTGGCGCTACCTATATGTCACTGCTATTGGTTAATATGGTTATACCCCGGCCCCGATTACTCGCTAGCTGGATAGGTATTGGTCGTTATGAGCACTATCGCTAGTAGCTAATATTCACCGCCGCATAACAGGAAACTAATAGTTCCACTCCCCTGTGTTTATCTCTTTTCCACCTCATAACTTTCTCAGGCCCCACCCCAGCCACTCCCCTCATCAACAGAATCTTTCTAATTCCTAATTATGGACTTTGTTGTAATCCCTCTTTATTTCAGGACCCTCGTAAGATGACTGTCAAGTTGTACAAATTAACCGGTCCTTTGGAGGACTTCCAAAATGATTTATCCCGGGCTGAAGATTTGCTCGGCCGACCGACACACATGGAGCGCGTAAAAAAAGTGAGGGCCGCTAACGGCCGAACATTCGACTTCGATCTTCAGCTTACTTTCAGCAGGTTTGTTTTATATCTAAAGTTCTTAGTTCTGACAATCGGGTTAGACTTATCTTTACATATAATAGCCTGTTATACATCATTGGAAATGTTTTCAAAGTTTACCAACTGAATCATCTACTCTCAGATGGTCGCAGTGGCCGGAAACAAACCATGGTCTCCTGATCTGTATTGGGAAATGTTTCCAAGAGTCACCCGAGATAGGCTTTGAAGAAGTGTTTGAAGGAAACAACGAGAGCAACCGCCCATTGCTGTCTATTGACACTTACGAGGAAAACCATTCGAGAAAGAAGCGGAGCGGTTACGACTGTGTCAATCCCCGACAACAGAAGAAATGCTGCAGGTAACTTTCTTAAGAAACTTACTATTCTTGAACTAGTTAATCGTTTTACAGGAACTATTCAAATTCTGTCAAATATTATGGAAACTCATCCGGAAGTTTTTATCTAAAACACTCTTCCTAATTTCTTTTCCCGCTCAGGTATCACTATTACGTTAAATTTGCCGATCTCGGAATGGATTGGATCTTGGCTCCGGAAGGATATGACGCCTACTATTGCAGCGGAGACTGTCCCTTTATGTACCTTGCAGAACAACGGTCAAGTCTGTACTACACGTTTGTGATTGCCCGTGCCAACTACAACAATCCTATGGCCTCGCCCCGGCCCTGCTGCACCCCAGCCTCCCTCTCCGATCTGAGCATCATGTTCAGCTCCGGGAAACTCGACTCAACGGTCAGTTGGAACCTTTAGATTGTTATTAAATTGTTCTTAATTCCGGTGTGAATCCTTAATACTTTTGTGGCACAACGTTTCTGTCAGACTTTCAATGGCAATGCAGGTTGTTAATCATCTGGAAAAACGATTATATTTTCACAATGGTGCGACCCTTCATTTCTTGAATTTTGTAATTGACCAATAATTGCTTTTCAAAGTTGCCCGAATAAAACTAGGAATGCGGACTCTCCCATCTTTGAATGGTTTACAAATTGGGTCTAATTAGCCTGGAGTTATCACCTTTGTGATCTTTGATGATCGTTGCAGGGTCAGCCCCAGGACATCGAAATTCACAATTTGGAGGACATGGTAGTGGACGAGTGCGGGTGCTCATAGCAACCGGGCCTTCTTGATATGGTAGGTTGACGTGTGGTATGTTAAAAATGTGTGTTTTGTTAGCCTTTTGGAATGTTTATTGACTAACAACAAAACATTGATTGTGTGAATCTAATCTAATTGTTTGCGATTAAAAACTTTCCACCCAAACCGCACACGGAAGCGCCCTGACAAATTTTCGTTTCTCAGAGAGATTAGTCTGAGTCAAGACAAAGTCAAGTTGAAGAAACTCAAGCGAGATCTGGAAGAGAGAAAGGAGGAGAAATTGCTAAAGGAAACCTGGACCTACACCAATATAATAGGCGTATAGGTGTAAAGTGAAATGTATGAAAAGATGTGATAAGGCGAATTTTCTTATTTATATTTCATCAATGTTTCGATGTCAGATTTTATCGAGTCCATCCTAGCCAGCCTAGCCCGGATATTTTAAGTTGCCAATCGAAATATATGATAAATGTTTTGACTATGATGATAATAAATATATAACTTATTACGGTCTGTAAAACATCAAATCGAAAACTTTTAACTTTTACCCTTCCACAATTTAGAGAATTTATACTTTTAAAGTTTTTACCTGATTCGATTTGGTGTTTTATAGTTTAGTGCATTTTTGCGGAGCGAAAATAAACACTTCGAAGCAAGGACTTTTCAACGGTTTTACGAGTGAGAAACAGGAATCCTGAATGACAATAATGGTATATAAAACAGACAGGTTTTGTACATTTTCGAAAAAAAGTAAGACTTGAACACTTTAAATTTCAAATATTTTGATACGGAGTTTGTACACTTTTATTAATTTATTATTGGATGCAGACTGTTTAAAGGGGGTTTAATTGGACCTGTTTTGACATATTGATACACACCGCCAATAGGCTGGGACTGATAACGTATTGATTAATGAAATAAATCAGTAATGGCGAGAACAATTGTCGCCGTTCATTACGGATCATTGATTTGAAATTATAGTATTTGATATGAGACTCCCGCTCCGTGGATTCTGCAACGACTGATGTGAGCGATCTGTACTTTTACTTGCTTGAGGAAGAGTTGTCATGTAAATTACTTTTGAGTGAAGTCAATCCCACCAGCAACACACATTACTCAGCTCTTGCAAGACAGTTCAAGTCTTCCTTTCTTTTAAGACAGAATCAGCCTCCATGTGACCTCTGTGAACCGGACATTTTATGTCGGTAACAGATATTCCAATTCCTAATCAGTCAAAATTAATGTGTTGCTGCTGGGATTGAAAGAAGATTGTTTTAATTGTAATTTGTTGCTATTTTGAAGCTTCGTTGCAAAGTGAATATATTTTATGAATTCATTAAATTATTTCAATATTTATGGTCACGATGTTAGATTCCCCGATCAAATGGAGCAAATTTTATGTGTTAATATTACAAAAAATATGAAAATTCAACGATTCATTATCCGAGACTATGAAACAGAAAATTTGCTACGTTTGAAGCACTATGAGCAACAGCGTTTGTAATTCTACCAACCCTTTTTGTACTGTGATTAGTATCAGTAAAAATTATTAAAGTCTGCAGATAAGTAACTGGCTGGGCGTATAAATCAGTAACTGCCGGAACACGAAGGTGCAAGTCATCTGTACTCTAGAATTAGTACATCTTTCTAGACTGAGTGACAGCTTGAACCCATATCTTTCCAAGTGCAATAAATCACATTTTTTTACTTCGCAGAACTTTATCATAATAGACTGAGTAGATGTAGATATAATATTCAGCTGATTCAATAAAATGTATCCAATAAGAAATAGTCTGATTACGACAAATATTGGATATTGGTCATTACCCCAATAGTTTCTGATTTATTTGCCGACTTGTAACCCAAATATAATGTAAAAACCTCCGCCTCACTATATTATGTTGCAAATACTATCCTCGAAAGAAGACGATTTTGTAATCAGTTTCATATTTCGTTGTATAATTCCCTGTCCATGGCATAGCCTTATATTAGATTTAGAAAAAATAACCGCGTTTCATTGTCTACCTCACCGCTAATGAAATAACTATAACCGCCACTGTGGGTAAGATATTTGGGCGAGATCCCAAACTGGGCTGATCGTCGTCGAGTTGCGTGGTGGTGTCTTGCAGGATATACTCAGTATCATTAATTTCTAGGTCAGGCTCACAGTCTCCACTCTGGCACCTGGAGGCCGAGGATTGGGTTAGTTACTTGCGAAATTGGATCGGTAACCTAGAAGATTGGGAGGGTTACTAAGGATACTAGGTTGGTTACTTAGGAGACTATATTAGTTACTTTAACTTAGGTCTAGGAGACTATATTATTATTAGTTACTTAGGAGAATAGGCCGGTTACTTAGGAGATTAAGTTGGTTACTCAGGAGATTAAGTTGGTTACTTAAGAGTTAGGAGATTGGATTAGTCACTAGGTTGAGGTTGGTTGCCCAAGAGGATTTACTCGGCTAACTGGGGGATAGGTTATATCGAACTTTTACTTATACTATTGGTAATAGTTCTAATGAACTGTTAGCAACTCTTGATGATACTGCATCCATAGTGATATGTTATGCAACTAGTCACTACCTAAAAATAACACATGATTCCTATTCTAACAAAAACAATAATATCATCCAGCCTGGTGGCAGCTTTTTAATTGACCTGTTAACAGAGCAGGCCACATCGGGGCCGGCCCCGTATTGCAGCAGCTCGCACACTCGTTCGTCGCTCATTAAAGAGTTCCCGCAGCTGTGAATATGGACTGTCGTTGTGTTGGTCATCTCCAGGACGACCCGAAGGCAGCTGTCCAACTCTGCATCTCCGCAATTCTCTATCTTGCACGTGCTCGGTATAGGCTCCAATTCATCTCTGAAAGGGAAATAGTGATTTACTATTTTGAGGGGGGGGGGGGTTTCCAAATGATTACGCTAGTGTAATTTTGACACAATAGCTATGTGTAAAAATGATTACGGAGGGGGGATGGGGGTTAAAAATTGGCCAAAAAGTGAATACGTAATAATAATATGTGAACTTTATTTTTGGTGAGCTTTATTTTTCTGACATGGGTCATACTCATTCATTGACTGATCAGCTTCGAGCAGCAACCAATCCCTACGGCTACACTATCATTAATTGTCAATATAAATATATGGCTCACCTCTTCATCAATTTTTAACAGAAATAATTTTAGGACCAACGTCCAACATAATGTATTCTAAAGTTTTAATAAAAGTTTCAAAGTTTACTTGGTAATGTTGAAGTCCAACTTGAACTCTTTAATGACAGGATCGTTAAGATCTATTACACGCAAGCACTTCATGCACGATGTCATTTTGATTGACACTGAAAGAAACATTTTTAGAACATAGATTTAGAAGACGTATAACAAAAAAGTTTGACTTCCTTGACCCGCATTCCCGTTTCCCTCTCAGTCTTTACTCAGCTTATTGCATTGGTAATAGTATATGCCTATGGCTATTTGCTCTGTAAGAGATAACAGTGAAACTAGTACGAATGTGCGCGGATCTCTGACAACTGTTAAACACATCAACGACCATGCATTGCCATTTCACAGTCCCTGTGGCTGTAGATTACTTTTAGATAGTAGGTAGTGCGCCATCGACGGTGAGCCGCGCGTGCCGACTGTAGGATGGTTTTTTAGCGCTAATTTCGGCCAGCACAATTTTCTTCAAACAAATAGATATTAAGTATCCTTCCCGACCTCCGATTGCAACAAAAATTGGTGAGCTTACTCGTAGACTTACAAGGAAAGTGTCCGAAAAGTTTAAAGCATATCCAACCATCAGACATTATGTTACAGCTAAAAGCAGCGTATTTTGCCTCATTTTGATCACTATATCAACTCCGATATCCACCAAATTTTTCGGACAGTTGTAAAAGCCCTATTGGAAGGTCGTCGCCAATTTTCAGAATGATCTCATTCAAGGAACTGAAGATATATCCAAATAATACGACAAAAATCAACGAATTTGGTCAAATTTGGTCAAATTACGCGACTTTTACAGCTAAATTTGCTTCAAAAGCCGCGCACTATCAAGTATGGCACTTAGGCGAAACTCACTGATCTTTCCAAAAAGGTATGACAAATTTGGTATTGTGAAAATTCTCACAGTCTCTAGAAAACAATGGTACAAAAATTTTTAAAATCCGAGCAAGTTTATTTTTATGGTGCACCTCCTATAGATAGGGACCCAAGCTTATTAGGCTCTTTATAGTTTATATAAACACATCGGAGATCTAGTTGAAGGATGATACTCGTCTACATTTCTTCGTAGGTTTATAACTTACCAAAACGCGCCGAGTTGGACTCGTCGACGTGGAAACAATATTTTACTGTTAACGAGTTGCGAGTATCACCCGCTAAACATTTTTCTGAAGTATACCCAGGAAACCTTACTGCCTGGCGGGCTTGCTAGAGGTGATCATTTTTGAATAGCATGATTGTCGTCGCCTTTTACAATCTGAATTCAGCCATGGAGTCATGACATTGACAACCAAATTGATTTGCAAAGTTATAATTATATAAAGCTGCGATCTTTTATTCGGCCCAAAATCATACTTTTCACTTTTCGGGATAACTCAAAATCTACGATGTCCCTAATTTTCCTCCTGGGGAGGTAACGTTATTTTTACAAGGCAAACACTTTGCAAAAAACCGAAAGTCTCTATTGTCAGGTCCATTTTCGATAAAACTTTCGCCATCTGAACTGTCATAATGTAAGTTTTACAACGGTACCAATTCCATAAAAACGTTAAAAAAAACCATCCACCCTAGTCTCTATGTCTTTTACTTTTGAAGTTAGGCCCCAGCCAGTAAGGTTTTCTGGGATAGCCTGGAATCCCCAGCTAGGTAAGTGCATGATCGTAGTAAATACAGCACATGACATGACACGTGAGCGTGCCATGGGCCCGGCCATGCATTCAGGAGTAATATGAATATTTTGAAGTCAAATTTGAGTATGTGGACTTTGTGATTTTAGTGTAGGTTTACAACCTACCAGGACGCGCGCCGAGTTGGACTCGTCGACGGTCCTGTCCAATATATGGAACAGATAGTTTACGAGTATCACCCGTTAATGATTTTATAGCGAGGTGCGCGGGAAAAAGCAAATAACCGTCAGCACATGGCCATACAGCCTCCATAGATAGTGGTTGTAGCGCGATGCACTGCTAGACTGGGCCGCGCATCTTCTCGCAACCACGTATGTGGATCGGCGAGATGCGAAGGATTTTGACGGATGTTACTCGTCTAAATTTCTTCGAAGTAGCGCGCGCCGCTTTCTTCTCGAAATGTTGATGGCAAGTCCTACGAAGTAGCGCGCGCCGGGCCAAATCATTAACAATGGTCAACGAAGGATTGACATCGTGAATCAACCATAGTGGCATCTGAAATCGAGTGTGCTAAATCACTCTACAGTCTTACTGGGCCGCGCTCAGCCTGTCATTCCGCGCTCAGCCTGTCATTCCGCCGAATCTCTATTCGGTCGGTATGTTAATGAACATGATAGCCTGAGGTCCCCAGGTAATCTACAGTCGCGATCTTCGAGATTGTTCTAAAAGGGCCCCCGACCACCGACAGTTGAAACCAACTTCAATCGACGTACTACTACTAAGCGTATTTTCGGACGCTGATTCCGAATCACCCCCCCCCCCCCCCATGACATACAACATATAGTTAAAATGCTCCCCTGACGAGATATTGGCGAAAAACTGTCTCGATCACGTGATATGACCATATAAGGAAGTTAGTCTAATTTCTCGTCAGGGTTAGGGTTTCAGCTTGAGGACTTCGCCGCTAGGCTTCAACGCGAACTAGCATTCTTGCTTCGCATCGCCGATTGTTGCTCTGCTTCGCAGAGCAACGATCTCGATGGGTTGACATCGTCAATCAAGGTTTCAGCATTTACCTGGGGACCCCAGGCTATTATGTTCATTAACATAAAGATTTGGCGGAATGACAGGCTGAGCGCGGCCCAGTAATTTCAGCATATGCTTTTGTTAAGGATTGGGTTGACGGATGTTACTCGTCTACATTTCTTCGAAGTAGCGCGCGCCGCTTTCTTCTCGAAATGTTATGGCCCGATGGTAAGTGCTACGAAGTAGCGAGCGCCGGGCCAGATTTGACTGATGTTACTCTTCTAAATTTCTTCGAAGTAGCGCGCGCCGCTTTCTTCTTGAAATGTTATGGCCCGACGGCACGAGCTACGAAGTAGCGCGCGCCGGGCCAGATCATTAACAATGGTCTTGTCATACGTTGTATGACCCGCCGCGCACGAGTGCGCGGCTCCCCCTGTATCGTCGAAACTCTATAGTGAAGCGATTGTAGGTTTACAACCTACCAGGACGCGCGCCGAGTTGGACTCGTCGACGGTCCTGTATATGGAACAGATATTTTACGAGTATCACCCGTAAATGAAGCGACCGTGGGGGTCACCACGTGATACAACAATGGTCAAGGCCAGATCATAATTACCAATGGTCACGGATTGGGTTAGGATCAGATTATAGACGTTAGGGTTTCGAATAGTCGTTCAGGACTTGCTCTATCCAGTATCCAGAGCCCTTGCAGTAGCGCGCGCCCGCCTCACGGCGGCGTTTCTTGAGTTCAGGACCAGCGAGAGAACGGGTTAAAAAAGTCACGTGACAATCGAGTGTAGAGTAATTATTAATCATCATCCATCTGAGATCTCGGCTATCGATGCGGCACCACGTACTAGTCTGTAGTCTGCATAAAACAATCATCCCAGGAGCCTAGGAGCTTTAGCAGAAAAGTGCCTTATTTGCCCGGCCGTAACGCACGACTCGTATATATATCGCTATATATGAACTATAAAACGGTTTTTTAGTTTAAACTCTTTCCTCTCCCTCGATGCGCGTTACATAATTGATAATATACAATATAATACTAATAGTGGGGTACGATTTTATATTATTAATATTATAACTACACACTACGTCTATAGTAAAGTATAGCAGTGTG